GCTGTAGCGGCCATTTAGGGGGTGAACCAACGGAAGGAAGACCTTTCTCTCTGTCTCTCCCTCTCACTGTCTGTAATCTACCTGTCAAATAAATAAATGAAAAAGAAATATTTCTACAAAGATCTGGAACTAGGCAAAGATGCCCACTTTCACAATTGCTATTCAGTATATTCTGGAAGTTTCAGCCAGAGCCATCAGGTAAGAAAAAGCAATCAAAAGGGAATCAAATTGGGAAGGAGGAAGTCAAATTATCCATTTGTAGATGACAAGATTTTATATATATATATATATATATATAAAATATATGAACAAAAAGACTGCTAAGTGACCATTGGAACTCATAAAAGAGTTTGGTAAAGTTGCAGAATATAAAATCAACACACATAAAAATCAATATCCTTTGTATATAAAAATAATGCCATGGCTGAGAAAGAACTTGTAAGATGAATTCCATTTACAATAGCTACAAAATATTCAAATATATTGGAATAAGTTTAACCAAGGGTGTGAAAGATCTCTATGATGAAAATTATGAAAGTTTAAAGAAATAAATAGAAGACACAAAATAATGGAAAAATCTTCTATATCATCAACATGTCTATACTACCAAAAGCAATTTACTGATTCAGTGCAATCTCAGTCAAAATACCAATGCATTATTTTCAGATCTAGAAAAAATGATGCTAAAATTCATATGGAAACACAAGAGCAAGATTGCTAAAGCAATCTTATACAACAAAAACAAAGCCAGAGGGGGCCGGCGCCACGGCTCACTAGGCTAATCCTCCGCCTTGCAGTGCCGGCACACCAGTTTCTAGTCCCAGTCAGGGCGCCGGATTATGTCCCGGTTGCCCCTCTTCCAGCCAGCTCTCTGCTGTGGCCAGGGAGTGCAGTGGAGGATGGCCCAAGTGCTTGGGCCCTGCACCCCATGGGAGACCAGGATAAGTACCTGGCTTCTGCCATCGGATCAGCGTGGTGCACCGGCTGCAGCCACTGGAGGGTGAACCAACGGCAAAGGAAGACCTTTCTCTCTGTCTCTCTCTCTCACTGTCCACTCTGCCTGTCAAAAAAAAAAAAAAAAAAAAAAAAAAAGCCAGAGTAATCACAATACCAGTTATAATCAAAACATCATGGTACTTGTATAAAAATAGACATGTAGAACAACAGATAGAAACTTTAGAAATTAATCTACACATCTATAGCTAATCTTTTACAAAGGAGCTAAAATCAATTGCAAATCAAAACCACAATGAGGTTTCATCTCATCCCAGTATGATTGACTATCATCCAAAAATCAAAAATAATAAATACTGGCAAGGATGTTTGGGAAGAAGTTGGGAATGTAAACTAGTACAGCTGCTATGCAAGACAGTATAGAGATTCCTCAGAGATCAGAAAATAGATCTATCATATGATCCAGCCATTCCACTCCTGGGAATTTACCCAAAGGAAATGAAATCAGCATATTAAAGAGTTATCTTTATCCCTGTGTTTATTGTAGCTTAATTCACAATAGCTAAGATATGGAATCAATCCAGATACCCATCAACTGATGAATAGTTAAACCAAATTGTGTATATGCACTATAGAATACTACTCAGTCATAAAAATAAATGAAATCCTGTCTTTTGAAAAAAAAAATGGATGTAACTGGAAATAGTTTTGCTAAGAATGGATTAGAAATAATCCATTCTCAAAAAACAAATATCATGTATTTTCTCTGATACGTGGCAGTTAGTATAGAATACAAAAAATACAATGAAATGGACATTTTGTGATATGATTGTCATTTTTAACTCTTGTTATACCTTTGTGGAACTGTGGTATTGTTACTTTTTTCTTGTTGAATGTTATGATTAGTGATTAATTAAACCTATGAATATAGATTTGATTACAATTATGTCTTTAAAAAACTGATGGAGATAGGAGATGGAGGCAGATGGATAGATGGGAACAGGGGAGTGAGGGAAGTGCGGTTGTCTTCTTGGAACTGTACCTATGGAATGCATGGAATTTATTTTTATATTAATAAAAATTATAGAAAAGAATAATTTATTCTAACATGAGAATATTTATTGAAGGGGAAAGAGTTCCATAAAGAGGGAACAGTATAGATAAAGGCCAGAAGTGTTAGAAAAGTAATCATAATGTCATTACAACTTTGCATAGAGTAAGTGAGGAGTAGCAAGAAATGAGGGTGAAGCAGGCAATGATCAGATTATAGAGTCTTGTGTGCTACACAAGGAGTCTGGATTCATTTATGAAAGCAACCAAAAGGTTTTGAAACATTTCAGTCTGGCTGGTATCATTGTATGATTTGATTTTTGTATTATAAAATCCACTATGATCACAGGGAGGGAGTTAGATCAAGGAGGCCAGGCTAGGAGATTTTTGTAGTATTTCAGACTAGAAATGATACATCCTAAACCAACAGTGGCAATGGAAAGGAAGAAAGAGATTAGGCATATTGAGAGGCAACAGATTGGTAATGTGCCTCATAATAGGACATTTGACTGAAATCAGACTGGACCAATGCCAGAGACGTTTTTTCCTGGGTCTATTTCTGCTTCTCCATTGCTTCCTATCAAGCTGTTTGTTGTGTCCTCATTGCCTCGGAGAGATATGGGATAAAGAGACAATAGAAGTCACCAGTGTACATTTTGGTAACTGTTTTTCAAAGGTCTAAAAGGGATTTTGCAGACTTGGTAAAAAGTAGAATGCCTGGGGAAATATATTGGTGTTTTATTATTTTTACAAGATTTATTTACTTGAAAAGCAGATACAGAGTGAGAATGAGGGGAAGAAAGAGAAAGATATATTTTTTAAAGATTTATTGAATTTATTTGAAATTCAGAGTTACACACAGTGAGAAGGAGAGGCAGAGAGAGAGAGACAGAGAGAAAGAGAGAAAGTTGTCCATCCACTGGTTCACTCCCCAGTTGGCTGCAAGGTCTGGAGCTGCACCGATCTGAAGCCAGGAAGAAGGAGCTTCTTCCAGGTCTCCCACATGGGTACAGGGGCCCAAGGTCTTGGGCCGTCTTCTACTGCTTTCCCAGGCCACAGCAGAGAGCTGGACAGGAAGTGGAGTAGCCGGGTCTTGAGCCAGTGCCCACATGGGATGCCGGCACTGCAGGCGGTGGCTTAACTCACTACACCACAGCGCAGGCCCCGAGAGAAAGATATTAAGAGTTATCTTGTATGTACTGGTTCACTCTCCAAATGGCTATAATGGCTGGGAATGGTACGGACCAAAGTCAGGAGCCAGGAAGTCCATCTGGGTTTCCCATGTGTGCAAAAAGGGTTCAGATACTTGAAGCATCACCTGATATTTTTCAGGGAACTTTAATAGGGAGCTGAATCAGAAACAGAGCAGCTAGCCATACTTGAACCAGTAATCTGATTTGGGATGCTGGCATCTTAAGTAGTAGCTTAACACACTGCACTGCAATACTGGCCCCTGTCTTGTTCTTTTAAAAGGTTGAAGAATTTCCTGGATTAAAAAGGAATTCCTTTTTGAATGGTAGGAAGAGATTGCAACGTTTAGCTGAGAGGGTGTGGTTCTGGTCCTGCACGAGGTTGCAGTCTAGATGTTGGCCAGGACTGTGGTTTTCTGTAAGCCTGCCTTAGCTGGTGGATCATTTCTCATCCCCTGCTCAAGGAGTTGGCAAAACCAGACAAAGAAGTGTCTATCAGATGGGTTCTTGAAGGTTTGAGAAAAGAATTTTGCACAAAACTTTTAGAAGCATAAATTTTTAGTTTCTTTCATCTCTTTTATCCATTTGTCTTCAAATGTAAGTTCCTTATCTTCAAAATCATTTTTGAAAGTGTTCTTTTGTCTGTGGTTATCTCCAAAGCTACAACTGAAGTCAACTTCCTAGTTCTGGAACTTCTATCATCTGGTGGCCTTGGTTGGGCTCTTCACAGGAAAGGTCTGGGAGATAACCAGGTTCGTTGTTATCTATATAAATTATTGAGCACCTCACTTGAAAGAACTAAGGGCATATGGACTACTTCTTCAAGCAATATAAGGAAAGCTTACCTGCCTCAAAGTGGCTTTGTTGTCCACTGTATTCAGGTAATGTTTGTTTAAAAACTTTCATTGTACCCAAGAAGGAACATATAATAAGCAAGAATAAAAAAATTTCAATTAGTTTGGAGTAAAAATTCAATATTGATTGATATCTTATAGCTGATGAGAAGCTTCACAGCCATACAGACTTTCTCAAAACATATTTTATAACTTATCTCTTTTCAGCTCCTTCCATGCTTTCGAATATTTCTCTGCAGAATTCTAGTGTTCCAGATGAAGACCCTAAGTACCAAGTTCAAGGAATAAAAAGGTGGGTGTTCATTCATTCTACAAACAAACATGTATAGAACACCTTGTGTGTCCAGGTAGTGTGGTAGGAACGTAGGTTTCTGTGAGGAGCAAAATAGTCTAGATCTTTTGCTCTCTTGGACATTGGATTTCAGTTAGGTAGATAGTTTGCAATGATATTGGTGACATATCACATACAAAGCACTTACTGCAGCATCTAGCATATGGTAAGTTACTATTTATCGTGGATGCTGTTGTCAGATGTGTGTAGCTGGAGTGTCCTTTTGCACATTCACTGGGTTGCCTTTGGAGATTGGGCTTCCTGCAGCTGTGCTTGTAGATAAGGTCACTATATTCATCAACTTCAGAAAGCAACTTGATGTCTGACATCAGGGAAACCTGTTTTGTAGATGTCCTTGTCCGCCTGTGTGCCCTGAATTTGAACTGAAGGTGGCATTTCCAGTCATCGTTTTCTGTTGTCCAGCAGCTACATTGCTATCTTGTAGAATGTATCAGTAACACTTTTTTTCTTCCCTCATTTCCTCCATCAGTAGTATGCTATGTTGACACAAGATACAGCATATCAATCATTTCTGGTAGGAATTCAATTGCAGTTTTTGTGAGTGATGAAAATGATTACCAGGTTGATAAAGAATTTACTATTGACAATCTGATATGACAGTTGTCTCATTTGGTAGTAGGTTTTAATTAAACCTGAAAGATAACAGAGATACCAGGATGAGTCATAATGGAGGTCTGGAGTTTATTTATAGATCTGAATGTCTGGTCAAATCTTTTTCACTCTGGGAAGTATCTACGGAGCTAGATGAGAAAATAGCAACTTTCTAGAACACAGACTACAACCCATATATTTCTTTGGTATTAATGTTGTTATTAAGAATAATACCTCTAGTAGGATTTATTGGATTTTTTAACTTTCATCTCAGTCATTTAATTTTGTTAATTTATTTGTTCAATTAATAAAATACATTTATGTACTTTTTTATATTTTGAACCAGTTCTTTCTGGAGTTTTGCCTTCACTGGACTTTAATTTCAAAAACACATGAGGATCATTATAGGACCTTTCAATTTCATATAGCCAAGGAGGGACAATTTAATAAGTTTTTATCTATTAGCATTATCATTGCGAAGGGCATGATCATAACATAGAGGACATATCTATCAAAGGCAATTTTTATTAAAAATTTTCTAAATTATCCATATTTTTTCTCATTTTCTAGGTATCCTGGGGCACATAGTCACAGCTTGGTACTAGTCAGCTGTTACTCTTTAGTGGTTTCATATGAACGCGTACTGTGCCTTCCAAACATGCTTTGTGAGGGCCAATACCTCCACAAATGTCCCTCAACCTCCCTACCTGGACATATCTGTGCTGAGCTGAGAAGAAAGGCTAAAATAGATTGTAATAGTTTATAATTCCCTGTGAAAGTATTCTACTAATGAGGGCTGTGTGAAATTAGAGAGGATTCTATGTATCAGTAAGTTGTATGTCACAGAGGCTGAATTATATGTCAGGATTGTGAAAAATATTTTTCTTAATCTGAATTCTCTAGAAAAAAAGATGTGGAGGCAATGGTTAAAGTGTTAATTCCTTATTTGAGAAATAGTCGAGAGCAGGGGTGAAAAGGCCAATGAGAAAGGCCACGGAGCAATGACACTAAATAAAGAGACAGCGGGGCTCATAGCCATGACTCATGTTTGCCTAAGGGGTTCTTCAGGACGGGCTTTAAGGGGAAACTGCTTGGATGAGCAAAGACTACAGGATTTAGAGGTCAACAATGGTTCTATATCTTGATAATTCCTTTGATTTTCTGGGTTTTATCATCTAGCACATTTAAAGGCAGTCTCAAATTTCATGGCTTGTGTGTGGTGTTTTGTCCAAGTCTGGAAGTGGTGTGAAGAACCAATCTATGTCTAGGTGGCAGCAGAGGGAATGGCATCAGCCATGTTGCTTTGAGGTGGCCACATTGGGAAGGAGCTAGGTCTCCAGGGCAGGTGGCTGTTGGCCTCAGGTGGAGGAACCTTGAGGGCAGAAACAGGGCTGAGGTAGACAGTGCTGCTGAGGCTCCTAGAGAGGTGGCTCTGAGGAAACCTGAGAGGCGTATCAAAATGTGTCTAAATAACATTCAGATTTAGAGAACTGAACTAAACCAATGTTTTCCTATGCTTTTAACAAGTGTCCTTGTGATATACAAGATGATTTTAATAACTATTAAACATTACTTGTTTATTTTAATGTATGTTAGGATAAATATATATACTATTTTCAATAAAATCCAAGTTCTCTTTTGAACCTAAAGTCTTAAAACTAAAATTAGGATCAATTTAAAGAAAAATATTAAGCAAACGAAAGTACAGATTGTATGCAGACACGACAAACATTGCTGTATAAAGATTAAAGTTTTTATTTTTTAAAGATTTATTTATTCAAAAGTCAGAGTTAACACAGAGAGAGGAGAGGCAGAGACAGAGAGAGAAGTCTTCTATCTGCTGGTTCACTCCCCAATTGGTCACAACGGCCGGAGCTGTGCCAATCTGAAGCCAGGAACCAGGAGCTTCTTCTGGTTCTCCCATGTGGGTGCAGGAGCCCAAGGACTTGGGCCATCTTCTACTGCTTTCCCAGGCCATAGCAGAGAGCTGGATCGGAAGTGGAGCAGCCAGGTCGCGAACTGGCACCCATATGGGATGCCGGCGCTTCAGGCCAGGGCATTAACCTGCTGCACCACAGAGCTGGCCCCTAAAGATTGAAGTTTAACAATAGTGGGGCAGAAGGTTCTTCCAACTTCAGTTTCTATGATTGGATGAATGCCTCTATCCTAGTTGTAATCAGAGCTGCACAGATGTCATAAACACAGGATCGCAGTTCTCCAGTATTTGAATGCTATGTTGGATTTGATTTTAAAGCACTATACCTTTTCTCAATAAAGTTCTGCTAACCTCCCAGTTTGGTTATATAGTACTCTTTTTTCGTTTCATTAAGTATTTATATTTTCCAGTCCCTTAAAGTGGGAAAAAGTAAGCCTGATAGTGATTTGTATGGGTGCTTGTTCCCTCTCTCCATGCTGAAGCGTTCCCACAGGCCAAGATGATTCGTCTTCATCCTTCATTAGGGCATGTTAGTCACTGGAGTGGTTTATGGGCAAATAGAGTTGCTGGCCTTGCAGATTCTGTTTGGGGTGGTACTGAATCAACCGTGCTCTTGATGTACAGATAAATCATGCCTCAGATTCTCTTGGTTGAATCTGTGTTAATTTCTAGAACCAACTGTCAAAGAGATGAAAACCGCATCAGCAAGGCATGCTGGTGTGTGGTCACATTAATTCTGATGGTTTCCCGTTAGATAACCTTACCTTTCACACATACATCAAATGAAAAATTAAGACATTTTATGCTTCTCAGCAAAGTAAATGCAAAAATGTATGGAAATATTAGGGTATATCTTTGATGATAGACTTTTACAACTCTTTTTAAGAGAGTAATCTGGACGCAGAACAACACTGCCAGGATGGGGCTGTTAAAAATCAATAATGACTGGATCTGGGGCGTATCTGCCAAACTGTATACTTCCATATAGACTATAGCCAGTGGTTCTCAACCCTCAGTTTTATTGAGTTTTATATGCATATGAAAATTTTATATATTTAAGGGTACAACATGTTATACATGTACATTGTGATATGATATACCTGTGTATGTTAAAATATATACATACTGTGAAATGATTAACACAATCAAACTAATTAACATACCCATCACTTCATCTACCATTTAAAAAGCATTTTATTTAAAAAAGTGCTTAATATAATATTTGCACATTTTTATGGGGCTTAGTGTAATATTCCAACTCATATAGACAGTGCAAAAAAATCAAAGCAGACAGTTCGCCTTTCTATTTCCCAGTATTTTCTTTGTATTTGAAGTCTGCTAGCTCCTCTTTTTTAGTTCTTTCCAAGCATATAATGCTTTATTTTGAGTGTACTCTTCCCACTGTGCCGTGGGATGCAGTTACTGCTATTTGATTGTCTAGATATTTTTTTAAAATTTGAAAGTGAGAAGGACAGAGGGAGATCTTCTATCTCCTGGTTCACTCCCCCAAAGCCTTTAACAGGCAAGGTTGAGCCAGGCAGAAGCCAGGAGCTGGGAACTCAACTTGGGTTTCCCACATGGGCGGTGGGCACTCAACTTCATGAACAATCACCTGCTGTCTCCCAGGGGGTGTGTTAGCAAGAATCTGGGATGGAGAGTGGAGCCAGAATTTGAATCCAGGCACTTTGAGCTGGGATGTGTGCATCCTAAGTGGCTGCTGAACTGCTGTGCCAAACAGTCACCCTCAGTGTTTGGGTGTGCATCTGTGTGTGGAGAACGCTTAAGATCTACTCTCTTAGCAAATTTCAGATACATAATACATTGTTGTTAACTGTAGTCATCAAGTCACACATTGGGTCTCTAGTAGGTACTCTGTATAACTGAAATATTGTACCCTTTATTAGTACAGAGTACTAATACAGTACAATTAGTATTATTGGCCTGCTATAAAATATACCAGTTTATACTCTCATCAGCAGTGAAGTAAAATGATCTTTTTTCCATATTTTTTTGTTTTTGTTTATGACAAGGTGATAAAATTTATTTGAAAGGGGAGGAAAATGCACACACAAGTACACACACACACACACACACACACGGGCATTGGTCAGGAGTAGAGTGGGCCGAGAAGGGAGAAAGATGAATGGGGTAAGTATGGAGATGGTGCCTCAGCACCCTGTCTCATGCTCATTTGCAGAGACAGCTCCACATCCTCACTAGCTCTTATTATCTTTTATCTTTTTTTGCATTTTATTATTTTCATGGTTCTTTTTATTGACATATACTAATTGTACGTATTTATGGAATACAGTGTGATAATTTTATACATGTATACAATGTGCAATGATTAAATCAGCATCTCTATCTCTTTAAATATTCTTTCATCTTATAAAAATAATTCTAACAGATATGAGGTGACAGCTCATTGTGAGTGTGATTTGCATCTCCTTGATGCTTCATGGTGTTGACTCACTTTCTATATACTTGTTGACAATTTGTTTGTCTTTAAAGACAATGTCTATTCAGACCCTTGAGTTTTTTTATATATATTTTGGACATTAATCCCTTTTTGGACATATAATTTGCAAATATTTTCTCCCATTCTGTAGGCTGTCTTTGTACTTTGTTGATTATTTCCTTTGCTGTACAGAAGTTTTTTAGTTTGGTACAATCCCACTTGTGTGTTTTATTTTATTTTGTTGTTGATGATTTTGTGGTCATATCTGAAAAGTAATTGCTAATATTAATGTCAAGACTTTCACTTTGTTTCCTTCTAGTAGTTTTACGTTTTCAAATCTTATGTTTAAATCTTCAATCTAGTTTGGGTTGATATTCTGTGTATGGTGAAAGATAGAGTCCAATTTACTTTATTTTTTTTTAAAAGATTTATTTATTTATTCCAGAGGCAGAGTTATAGACAGAGGGAGAGACAGGTCATCCATCTGCTGGTTCATTCCCCAAATGGCCATATTGGCTGGAGCTGGGCCAATCAGCAGCCAGGAGCCAAGAACCTCCTCCAGGTCTCTCACATGGGTGTAGGGGTCTAAGCACTTGAGCCATCTTCCACTGATTTCCCAGGCCACCTGCAGAGAGCTGGATCAGAAGAGGCAGCAGCAACTGGAACCAGTGCCCATATGGGATGCTGGCATTGCAGGCGAGACTTAACCTACTGTGCCACAGCACCAGCCCCTCCAGTGTACTTCTTTTGCCTGTGAATACCCAATTTTCTTAGCAAATGTATTGATGAGATTACCCTTTCCCCATTGTTCATTGTTGACAGCTTTGTCAAACATTAGTTGATTGCAGATCTGTGAGTTTATTTCTGGCCTCGCTCTTTTCTTCTTGTCTGTTTTTGTGCCAGTACCGAGCTATCTTGGTAACTGCAGATTTATACCAACAGGTTTTTGTTGTTCCTTCTGAGGTCCTATATGCTTTCTCTAGTGACTAGAAGTTAAATTCTCTCAGAGTTGTTTTATAACCTGTAAATATTGCCTCTTAAGCTCAGCACACATCTTTTATTCAAAGCAAACCATAATGGTACACACTGTAGAGAATATTTGTGGTACAAAGATCTCTCTAAAGAATTTTATTTTTTTAAAGATTTATTTATTTATTTGAAGAGCAAAGTGAGAGAGAGAGAATTGAGAGATTGATGGATCGATTCATCCATCCATCCCCTGGTTTACTCTCTAAATGGCTGCAATAGTTGGGGTTGGGCCAAGTAGAAGCCCAGAGCCAGGAATTCCATTTTGGATTTCCCACATGGTTGGCAGGACCCAAAGTACGTGGGCCGTCACCTGCTTCCCCAGGTACATTAGTGGTAGCTGGATTGGAAGCAGAGCGACCACGACTTGAATCGACACTCTGATAGGGCATGTCTGCACCACAGGCAGAAGCTTAACCCATGGCACCAGCACGCTGTCCCAGTTCATTGTATGTTTGAACTCCAAAACTTCTGTTTTCTTCTTCTTCTATGATTTCTATTTCTTTGTTGAACTTTAAAATTTCATTCATATATTAAAAATATGTTTTGAGTTATCTGCTTTCTGCTATAACTCACAGAGCTTCCTTGAATAATTATTTTTAACTCTTTGTCAGGAAATTTGTAAATCTATTTCTTTGGGCTTAGTTACTGGAAAATTGTGATGATCCTTTGGTGATGTCATGTTTCCTTGATTTTTCATGTTTTTTTGAAATTTTGTGTTACCGTCTTTGAAGAAGCAGTCTTTACTGACTGGCTTTGGGAGAGAAATAATGTCACCAGTCATCCTGAGCAGGATTTGGGGGATTTTCCAAAACTTTTCTGTGGCTATTCTCACTCCATTAATCTTACTGTCTCTTGAGTGGAGGCGGGGGAGTGGTAGATCTTAGGATAGTTTACTTGTCTTCATCCTACAAATCTGGGCTGGTTGTTGAGTGCCTCCCCTTTATTTTCTCTAGCACAGTGACCTGATATGTTCAAGACAAGCACCTTCTCCCAACCAAGCAGATTCAACTGTAATGTTTGTATTTGTTCATGTACAATATAAGCATATAGGTAAAGCCTTATGGGTTCTTATAACAGGATGCCAGATACTTTCCTTTTATGATACTAGGTTAATGACTAATCTAGATTTCGGCTTGGTTAATGCAGTACTTCTCAAAGTATGGTTTTTAGTCCAACTGTACCAGCATCTCCTAGAGATGTTTATTAAACTTCACTCTATTTCTGCATGTTTGACTTAAAATCTGCCATTCTAAGAATATTTTAGGCTATCCAACAAACTGTGAAGCAAAGTAGTATGTTAGGAATTTTATTGCAGATTGATCTCAGGTATAGCATGTATATAGGAGCAAGTTAAGCAAAATTGGATACTATAACAAAAACCTCGGTCAATCCTGTAGAGAATTCTGGAGATGGGGCCCTTCAGTATTACCCTAAGTTGAGGTAAGAGATCAGGATTATTTTTTATTCTTGCATTGAGTAATAATTAACTATGGATTGTGGAATAGGTAAGACTGGATGAGGCAGTTTCATTTCACTGAGTACCTTGGTCTACAGCAATAAATATAGCCCATTGTTTGCACTAGTTGGAGATACTTGTTTCAGTCAGCATGTTCATTGCATTTAGTAAAAACCAAATGTTCCAGGTTTCTTTTTTTCTCTAAAATATAATTAATATTTATTTTTGAGTGTTATTTTTATTTATTTGAAAGGTGGAGTGATGTATAAGGAGAGAGAATCTTCCATTTGTTGGTTTACTTCCCAAATGGTTGCAATGGCTGGGGCTGGGACTGGGCTAGACCTAAGCCAGGAGCCTGGAATTCCATCTAGGTCTCCCATGTGGGTGACAGGAGCCCAAGTTCTCAGGCCATCTTCCATTGTTTTACCAGGTGCATTTTCAGGGAGCTGGATCAGACAAGAGCAGCTGGGGCTTTAAACCCATGCTCTGATATGGGATGCCAACATTGCAGGTGGTGGCTTAACACTCTCAACTATAACACCAGTCCCTGTTCCAGGCTTCCCACTGGTCTGTTTGCAGGGGAAGCTTATAAGAGGAAAGTTAGTGTGATGAATTAGAATCCCAGTTATCTGCTCTTACAATCAAATCCAGATTCCTCTTGCCTGAGTTAGTATTTCTGTTGGAGGATTGCTTGGTTGACTGAAATTCACAGCCCTAAGGGTGTGTGTCTCTGGTAAGTATGCTTATTTCAAGTTATGGTTGTTGCTGTTATTGATTAATACAACCATTGGAAAGGAAAGTTCCAATATTACCTGATGTATCAGTTGGGTGTCAAATGTGTTCTTCCTGAGATCATTATGTAATAGCAAACCTAAGGATCAGGTTTGCTTCTGCAGATACAATTCCTCTTTTCCTTGTTATCCATTCTTTGAGAGGTTTAAAATAAAGTAATTGTGCATTAGCCTTTGCTTAGAGTTTAATGAGATTTTTACCATGCTCTCTTTTCAAAGCTTCTGGGAAACCAGGTCTTTTGGAATTAGATATCTTCAAAACTGTAGGTCAAGATATGAGGATACTTCTTTATCTTTTGGAGTTCTGACGTGTATATTCTACTTAGTGGGGATACAATAACAAATAACGATCAATTACTTAGGGTGTATATCTCCCTCTAGAGAGTGACATCTTTCAGGTTGTCATCTGCAAGCTGGCGTCTCACCTGCACTTTTAAAAAGCTCTTCTATTACTCTCAGGCTTAACGCTTAGGCAATATGGAAGTAAAAGAACAAGTTTATACCATTAACATGTGCCCACTACTATGCTTTCTTAGTTTCAAAGTGGGTACTTTAGCGTAAGGCAATATATTGGTCGTTCTAACAATCTTTAATTGTACTTATGATGTTGCTGGCTGGCTGAGGTTCTGTAGGCAGAATAGGCAAAGTCATAACAGCAGTATATGTCATTTACATTCAAGATGAAGCATTGCTCCTTACAGGGTGATAAGGGTCCAATGTAATCAACCTGCAAGTAAGAGACTGGTTTGTTTCCATAAGGGATGGTGTTGTATTAGGGTCTTAAGTGATAGGTTCTGTTTCTCACAAGATGGACAGTTAGCAATTTCCAAAGCTAGATCATACTTCGGTGAAAGGGAAATCATGTCACTGATTGCACAGTCTTTAATATCCCCATCCCTTTAACAACAGCAGTGGAGTAGCTAATGATTTGGCTGATATCTATTTGTTTTAGTTATTTGGTGTTCTTGATTGCTGTGTTTTTCAAAGTGGATGCTCTCCAGTTGGCACTACCATGAAATTAAATGATCGTAACATTTTTTGTGCCCAATTCATGTTCACCCACAAGCCCTACCTGAGACCACTTCTCCATGATTCTCAAATCTTTCTCCTTTTGGGCCCCTGAACAACCAGTTAAGCTATTCACCATTGCTCATGAGTTCATGTATGTTATTACCTTGACCTAATTTCTTCCAACAAAGTAGTTGACTAGGTACATCCTCAGAGCCTTGAAAGAAGCCCACCTACTGCCATCTCTAAGGCCACATCTGAATGGGATGTAATATATCATCTGTCCATCTGAAGCTTGTGCGTACATACCGAAGCGACCTATTTGTGAACCACGCTCAGACTTTTTCCTTTTCCATCAGCTGGTGATGCAGGATTCTTCCACATCTTCATCCCCACAGCAGTAGGTATGAGCTGTTGGAGAGGTACAAACATAACAGAAGTAAGTGGTGTGGAAGTCTATACCATTTGATGTGCTACTTACTGGCATCCTCTGGTCCTATTCATGTCAATTCTAAATGAATTGTTCCCTTTAATGGTGTACTGCTATTGTATCTATCTATAAGTTGATGTTTCTAACTGAGCGCAACTTATAATGGGCTGCCCTACCAACATGAGCTCTTAATTTCCCAAGGCCAGGTACTAGATGTCCTCCAGGGACTGGTAACATCTCAGATGTTTCTGGGAAGTGTATGTTTCTCTGTTGCAGATAGTTTGGTCTTGCACCAGATCCCTTGAGGATCTATATTGTGATTCTTTTGTCGGATCTTGCCATAAGCTTTACATAGCATATTTTATTATTATATATACCTCTAGTGCCATGGGATCTGACATGAATTGTGTCCCAAAGTAGCAGGACTGTTTTCACTCTAGCCAGGATGTGAGGCACAGCTATTTATTGCCCTGAGCTCAATTTGAAGCTATGTGTTTGTTGGCAAATGCATTAGAACAGTTTTTCCAAGTGTGGAATATGCTGTTTTTCAGGATATACAGAGGCCTGCCTCGTGACTGAGCATTGATGCAATACCTGTCTGATAATGGGAGTTATGAAATGTAATAATTTCTCCTTTATTCTTGAAAGAATGTCCCAGCAAGTCCCATACCACAGGAGCTCTAAAAACTTCATGTGTGACACAGGCCCTTAAAACTTCATACAGTTTACCATCTTCACTCTGAGGTAAATACATTATCAAGGTCTCCATCATACTGGTTACATCTTGATCGATAATTATAATCCTAGATGATGCACCAATTAAATGCTCTGTAGAGGGGCTAGCATTGTGTTGTAGTGGGACACCAGCATCCCATGTGGGCACCCGATTCCAGCTCCCTGTGGCTGATGGCATAAGACAGTAGAAAGTGGCCTGAGTGCTTGGGTCCCTGTGCTCACAGGGAGAGCTAGATAAAGCTCCTGGCTCCTGGTTTTGGTCTGGCCTTGCTGGCTAGCACTGGCCATTGTGGGGTGAACCAACAGTCAAATAATAAATAAATTTTTTTTAAAGTTCTGTGGAATGTCCAAATAGTCCAGGTTCCTTTTAATTATATTTTGACGGAAGATGGGGAAATTAACGTAGCCCTTCAATAGCACCATAATGTGTATTATTCATCTCATGAGAATATAGAGTGCTTATAATCCTCCTTTTTTGAAAGGAATGCAAAAGATTGCTTTTGCCCGATTCAAGATGACATACAATGTCACTAGGGCTGTGCAGATTTGCTGTAGCAGAAATATCACATTTGGCAAAGCAGTTATATTTGTACTACTACCTGTTCAGTTTGCATTAAGTTACTGTCATTTGCTAGCATCTAAGGGTATGACCTTGAGTCAGGTAACTTCCTTTGGCTGAAAGAATGCCTGGAGAGTTGCTTAGCTGTGAGTCATCAACAGCCAACACTCCTAGCAGCTGGAAGATTGAGTGTGGACATTCTGAAGATAGGATTCTGGAAACACACTAAAACTGCAGGGGCGTGAGAGTCTATGCCTCATGGAGGGTGCCCTGTATTTCTCAGTTGTGACTTTAAAATCTTTTTCCATTGCACTATAGGAAAATATTTAGCTTTGGTTTTTAACTCCGTTTTGCTTTATTTTAGTCATTACATTGTGTCTTTTTTTTTTTTTTTGACAGGCAGAGTGGACAGTGAGAGAGAGAGACAGAGAGGAAGGTCCTCCTATGCCGTTGGTCCAACCTCCAATGGCCACCGCGGCTGGCGCGCTGCGGCCAGCCCACTGCGCTGATCCGAAGGCAGGAGCCAGGTGCTTCTCCTGGTCTCCCATGGGGTGCAGGGCCCAAGCACTTGGGCCATCCTCCACTACACTCCCAGGCCATAGCAGAGAGCTGGCCTGGAAGAGGGGCAACCGGGACAAATCCGGCACCCCAACTGGGACTAGAACCCAGTGTTGCCGGCGCCGCAAGGCAGAGGATTAGCCTAGTGAGCCGCAGCGCCGGCCATACACTGTGTCTTTGTATTTTTTAAAAACTATTAAATTGCCTTTTAAGAACTAATTTTGTTTCAAATATCAGTCATAGCTTTTATTCACTAGAATTTTTCAGTGGCTAAAGCATGAGTTAAACATATAGTCAAATTGAATCTCGCTCTACACACACACACACACCAAATCTAAATAAGAATGCTTCATATACCATCCCACTATATTTACAATCTATTACTTTTGCAAATCACACCCAGTTTAAATGAAACAAAGTTTGAGGATTTAAAAATGTAAGACCTTTTCCAGGTTGTAGGTATCAGTTATTATGTATGATAGTTTAAATTTAGTTACTGTCAACTAGAGCTTGTGAAAGGAGCAACTCAACATAGCACATTTGGACTACATGGTACTACTTGCATACCTATTGCACCTAGATTTTCTGGCATATGTACTCTAGCTATAACTCTACTTTTTTTCTCTTGTCCAATCAAAGTGACTTTTTAAAAGGCAAGTAAGCAACAACAAAAGACATTCGTTTGGAATTAACCTTGAATAATTTTCTAACAAGTATAAAAATAATCAACTAGTGAAAATCAGCTATTTTCAAACTTCTTAAATTATCAGTAGTAATATATTAGTTGTAGTGTGGTACATGACTGATTAGAACATACCAAAGTGAGGAAATACTCCATCTGAAAATTACTGCTTTAGGGGTAATTTTGAAAATTTGGATTTGTATCCGAATCACATGGAATCCTGAAATAATTTTGACTGCATACCCCTTCTGTTTTATTTAAATCAAGATATAGAATAGTTTTATCAACCCTCCAAATTTCCTCATGACCCTTTGTAGTCAACTCCTTACATACTCAGAATGTGGCAAACACGGATTTGGTGTCTGATCTTGTGGTTTTGCCTTTTACAGAATGCCATATATAAGATGCCACAAATGTACAGACTCTTGAATCTGATTTCCCTTGCTTAACACATTTGAGATTCATCCAGCTTGTTGCATATAGCGATAGTTCATATCTTTCTCTCTGTTTTTCTCACTGAGGATTATCTATCATATGGATGCATCACACTTTGTCTACTCGCTGGCTGAAGGACACTAGGGTTGTTTCCAGGTTTTGATGATTATGAGTAAAGCTGCTATAAACACCTGGGTATAGGACTATTTTCTGAATATATGTTTTTATTAAATAATACATTTGGATGGGATTGCTGTGTTATATGGTAATAACATACTTTTATTTTTTAAAAAGACTGCCCAACTATTTTCCAAAGTGGCTATGCCATTTTGCAACCTGCCCCTGGCTCCTGTTAGAGTTCTACTTGCTATGTGTCTTTGTTGTCACGTAGTAATGTCAATATTTTAATGTTACCAGCTCCAAGAGGTGTACAGTGGCATCTCACTGTAGTTTAATTTGTATCATATTACAAATAATGTTTTGATGCAGAGTTATGGTTGAGAACCTGATTCTGAACCCTTGTTCTGCCACTTTCTACTTAAATCTCCTAAAATAGATAGCTTGATCTCTCTGAACTTAAGTTTTCTCCCAGACAAAAGTATTCTCTATCTTATAAGACTGATATTCAGTTAAATGTGAGAATGTGTGCAATAGACTGTGTGACCTGTAGGTGTGGGTATTTATGAATCTTCTCAATCAATTTATTCTCAAAATTCCATATTTTTTAAAACTTTTATTTAATAAATATAAATTTCTGAAGTACAACTTTTGGATTATAGTGGCTTTTCCCCCCATAACCACCCTCCCACCCACAACCATCCTATCTCCCACTCCCTTTCCCATCCCATTCTTCATCATAATTCATTTTCAATCATATTTATATGCAGAAGATCAACTTAGTATATACTAAGGAAAGATTTCAACAGACTGCACCCACACAGATACACGAAGTGTAAAGTACTGTTTGAGTAGTAGTTTTACCATTAATTTGCATAGTATAACACATTAAGGACAGAGATCCTACATGGGGAGTAGGTGCACAGTGACTCCCGTTGTTGATTTAACAATTGACGCACTTATTTATGATGTCAGTGATCAACTGAGGCTCTTGTCATGAGCTGCCAAGGCTATGGAAGCCTCTTGAATTCGCCAACTCTGATCTTATTTAGACAAGGCATTGGAAGTTCTCTCCTCCCTTCAGAGAAAGGTACCTCTTTATTTGATGGCCCATTCTTTCCACTGTGATCTCACTCACAGAGATCTTTCACTTAGGTCATTTTTTTTTGCCAGTGTCTTGGCTTTCCATGCCTGAAATACTCTCATGGGCTCTTCAGCCAGATCCAAATGCCTTAAGGGCTGATTCTGAGGCCAGAGTGCTGTTTAGGACATCTGCCATTCTATGAGTCTACTGTGTATTCCACTTCCCCTGTTGGATCATTCTCTCCTTTTTAATTCTATTATTATTATTAGCAGACACTAGTCTTGTTTATGTGATCCCTTTGACACTTAATCCTATCATTATGATCAATTATGTACTGAAACTGATCACTTTGACTAGTGAGATGGCATTGGTACATGCCACCTTGATGGGATTGAATTGGAATCTAATGGCATGTTTGAGCATGTGCCGAACTGTACATCTCCGCCCTCTCTTATTCCCACTCTTGTATTTAACAGGGATCCCTTTTCAGTTAAATTTAAATGACTAAGAATAATTGTGTGTTAATTAAAGAGTTCAACCAATGGTATTAAGTAGGACAAAAAAATACTAAGAAGAATAAAGTAGTAAGCTGTTCCTCAACAGTCAGGACAAGGGCTGATCAATAAAAAAAGCATCTTCAGATATTGTGAAATACATTAAACCCAAGTAGACACGATCAGTCTTTCAGTTATATCCTGATAAGTTTTCCAAGTCACTAGTTACATAGATACGTGTTACCCAACAGACCCCCAGAGTTTCAAGCATAAGAGAAAGCACTAGTGGCCAATATAAAGTGAGTGCATATTTTACCTGGAGCATTCCATGTTCTCTCTTCTTGTCTTGCTGGATAAGGAAAGATGCATTAATGGCACCAATTACAAAGTGTGGATTTGATTTATAGTTCTTTGTTACTTTCTCTGGCAGTCACCATGCAGTAGGAAAATCCACACACAGCAATCTAAAGACAATTTAGACTGAAATGGTTCTGTGCAATTTAGGCATTTAATTAGGGGTTTTAAAGCTTAATTAAAAAGTTAAATCATTTGTCTTTATTTCTGAAACAATGCTATTGTAGATGGTTCAATTATGTAAAATAAAACATAATAAGATATGTATATCCTTGTCTGAAGTTATAGCATCATTCACACATAACAGCACAGCCTCATAAAATGTATTTGAGAAGTTAGAACAAAATTGAAATATAGAGCCATTAAATATGCTATTGAAAGTAACTTCTGGTCTGTGAAGTTGTTTTTCTCTCATTTGTTTCATGATCCTTGCAAGATATGAGTTTTTTCCTTCAAAAATGTAAATTATGAGAAAAAGGAGTTACCTTCAATTTCATTCCAAATGAGCTTGTGTGCACTCACACACACACAAACTGGAATTACAACTTCTCATCCATCTTTACGTATTTATAACTAGGAAGGGAGCTGCACTGCTTGTGCCAGAGTAATGAGAAACTTTCTTGAGTTACACAAATGTACTTTTTAATTTTAAAGCACTTTTTGCTCATTTTATTTGGAAGGCAGAGAGGCAGACAGAGAATGATCTTCCTTCTGCTGGTTCACTCCCAAATGCCTACAACAGCCAGGAATGGGTCAGGTAAAAGCCAGGAGCCTGGAACTCAATCTGTCTCTTATGTTCTTAATAAGGACCTAAGTACTTGAACCATCGTCTGCTGCCTCCCAGGATGCATACTAGTAGGAAGCTGGATCAGAAGTGGAGTTGCAGGTATCCAAGTGGTAAACTAATTACTGTGTTAAAGCACCTGCCCTGTACTTCCTAATTTTCAGAATCTATGCTTAGGCTTCTATGTTAGTCAGGGTTCTCCAGAGAAACAGAACCCATAGGATATAGATGTAGATACATATCCCTAGGAAGAGATTTCTTATAAGATATGCAACTGTGGAGCTAGTGTTGTAGCATGGTGGGTTAAGTTGCTACCTGTGACTTCGGCATCTCATATGGGAGCTGATTCAAGTCCATGCTACTTCACTCCTGATCCAACTCCCTGTTAATGTGCCTGGGAAACCCAGATAAAACTCCTGGTTCCTGGTTTTGGCCTGGCCTAGCCCTGACCATTGTGGCTATTTGGGGAGTGAAGCAGTGCATGGAAGATTTCTCTCTCTCTCTCTCTCTCTCTCTCTCTCTCTCTAACTCTGACTTTCAAATAAATAAATAAATGTTAAGAACAAAGATAGCAGCTGTGGAGGCTGAGAAGCCCCATGATCTCCCACCTGTAAGCTGGAGATCCAGTAACTCCAGTGATATATTTAGAAGAACTTTGGGCTGAGAGCTCATGGTGCATATGGCAGCTGGAGCCTTGAGAATCAGGAATGCCAAGGGCTGACAGCCAGGCTGAGTATGAATTCAACCTTCTTCCATCCTTTTGTCCTCTTTAGACCCTCAATAGTTTGCATGATACTCAGCCATGTTGAGGCCGTCCATATACTTTACTCAATTTACCAATCCAAATGCTGATCTCTTTTAGAAAGTGTCTTAGACGTACACTCAGAAATAGTATTTTACCAGCCATCTGGTCATCCTGTGGCCCCATCAAGTTGATACATAAAATTAACCATCTCAGTCTCCCATTAGCCTCATCACCTGGCCTCTCCCGTCACCATGATTTCTAGGTTCTTCCCGCATTTTCAACATGCCCTTGGGATTTGATCTGCTGTTCTTCTGAAAGCTGCCTTGATTTTGTAGAGTGTCTTTTGCCTCAAGACTGGATGTTCAATATGTGAAAAATGCAGACAGGATTAAATGCTTGGATTATAATAATCATGCTATTGCATGAAATTGTGACATACATGAAGATCTGTACTTCTTGAGTGTTGTTGAACTTGGTAGGTTGTATGATAAGTAAATGATTCTGCCACATTAAACCTGTACAAGTCTTAGTGTGTACCAGATGACAACCTCTACTAGAGAAAGGCTAGATCCAGTCAGGAGTGAGGGCAGTAGAGTGAGATGACTTAGATTGTGTATATGTGCTCAGATATTTGTGCTTCTAAGGCTGTACACCCTCATTCAGTGTCAAATGGCCTGGGTCAGTGGTTCTTACCATTGTATCACATTGTGATCACTTGGGGAATTTTAAAAAAAACACTCATTTCTATTAAACCAAATTAAACCAAAGTCTCTAGGGTGGAGTCCTCACCCCAGGATTTTTAAATGCTCCCAAAGTGAGTCTAATCTGCAGCCAAAGTTGAAAACTACTGGTCTATATTTTCTAGCAACATAGTAGCAAGTGTCCTGCTGTGAGCAAAGAAAATAGTATGAGAATGAGACAAAGTTTAGAAGAATGATACTTTAAGCAGCTAGGCAGACTCACTGGAAAGGTATACTGAGGAGTCCAGGGGCCTAAATGATTCAACCCATATGGTATTGTAATATTCTCTAGCACTTCTTGACTGTTAAGGAGTTGGGAAAAATTAACATTTGAGTTATTCAGGTTGAGAATTAGCACTGTTCATGTTTCCCAAACCATGGTGGGCATCATAACCACCCAAGAAGCTTATGAAAGAGACAAATTCCAGGACCCCATTTCCTATGAAGTTTTTTAAGGAGGTATGGGTGGGTACTCTGTATTTTTCACAAGCACATCTGGGAAGTGTGGCAGCCAGTCCAGGCTGGAGTTTGGGAACTACTGAAATAGAGTATGGTAAGAATGTCAAAAACCAGCTGATAGATTTTGTGATTATAGTTAAAGCATGGCTTAACTATCAGATCATGAGATATAGCTGGCTAGGGTGACAAAGTCAGAGGGAATAGAAGAATAGGAAGTAGAAGAGGAAATAAGCAAGTTACAATGGGGGCACAGAGTTGGAAGAAGAGGTGAGGATGAGTTGGAGACAATGAGGTGTTCTGGCAAGAAGTGTTTGTCAAGACTGATCAGGTATGGGCATTTGGCCTAACAGGATGCCAAGCTAAGATCCTTTTGTCCCATGTTGGAATACCTGGTTCAGTTCCAATCTCTGGCTCCCAATCCCAACTTCGTACTGTTGTAGACTCTAGGAGGCAACAGGTGATGACTCAGCTAATTAGGTTCTTGTCACCATGTGAGAGACCTGGCGTGAGTTCCAAGCTCCTGGCTACAGCCCATCACTGTCCTGCCCTTTGAAGCCATTTCCACTGCAGGGGAGCTCTGGCTTTATGATTCTTGAATTAAAAAGGACAGTGGTTAGAGAGGGGATATTTGAGGTGCCTGATCTTGGATTTAATCTCTCTTACATTTTCTTATTTCAGTCACTGACTCAGTGCCTCTACTGCCAGAAATAGAAAAGGAAACCAATGTAGAAGGGCACTGTATTCATTTTGTTGTAACAAATACTGCAGAGTGGCTTCAACATGAAGTCAACAGAAGTTATTTTCTTACAACTCTGGAGGCTGGCAGTTCAAAACCAGGATGTTAGCAGGGTTGAGTTTTTTCCAAGGCTTTTTCCTTGGCTTGGAAATGGCTGTCTTCTCCCTGTGTCTTCTCTCCCTGTGTCTTCTCATTGTCTCTACTTGTAAGAACACCAGTCATTCTGGATTAGAGCCCACTATTATGACCTCATATTGCCTTACTTGCCTCTTTAAAGGCCATGTCTCCAAATATAGTCACACTTTGAGGCTACTGGGAGGTTAGAACTTTCACATTTGAATTTTTAGGAGACACAAGTCAGTCCATGATAGGCACTAAAGCTAACTATATGGGGGCTGAAACTCTGTTGAAAGACGAGAAAAACCCCAAAATGCTTTCCCTTTGGCTATTTAGAAATCAAGAAAAATCCTTAATCTTCTTACAGTTCAACTACGTGGTAGAGATGGTATGAACACGTGCTAAAAAAATTCTTCTTCAATGAGTTTGCCTATAACTGCTGGTTTTTTACCTAAGAACTAGGTCTTACTGTAGTAGGTACCACTATCTGTGTGTCATGTACTGGTGACTCAATTAGGAGCAATGAGTCTAGCTTGATAACGCAGACCAATGTCCCTTTTGGACCCGAATGAGGAAATAAAATAGACTTAAAGGGCTTAAGACACCAAGATACGTAGCATAGAAATGAGAATTATTAGATAGAAATTATAACATGCCACTTACAGATTAGATATATTTTTTAAATTGCCTAACTAAATGTGTGGAGGGAGAGGAAATTTCAGGTTCTGAGTTATAGATGTTATTTTAGTGACATGAGCTCAATATTAGTGTTCTGTTTATTTCCTGAATACTGAAGGGAGAATAACATTCTCATTATCGCCTTGCACAGTGTATCTTACAACACATCTAGAACCACAGCTGTGCAGAAATTTGATGTAAGCCCAGAGGGGCTGCGTTTTTTTTTTTTTTTTTATTAAAAGCTTCCTTTTTTTCTTTTAAGCAACTTCATTGAGTTATAATTTACATGCTATAAATCTCACCGATTTTAAGTATATAATTTAATGATTTTTAGTAAATTTACTGAGTTAGCATCCATTGTTGCAATGCATTTTAGAATATTTCCATTACCCAATAACATCCTTCATACACTTTGACAGTTAATTCATGTTCCCACCCAAAGCCCGAGATAATCATTAAGCTGCTTTCTAATATTCCTAATGCCATTTTATTAAGGTATGATTGACAGTTAAAAGTTGTATACTGTGAGGTATGTAAGGTGATGTTTTCATATGTATATATACATTGGAAAATGATTACCACAATCAAACTGCTAAATATATCCATCACCTCACGTGGTTAGTCCATGTGTTTGTGTGGTGAGAACACAAAGATCAACCCCCTTAGCAAATTTCAAGCATATAACACAGTGTTTTTTAAAGATTTATTTAATTTATTTGAAAGGGAGAAAGAGAGAGAGAGAGATCTTCCATTCTGTGGTTCACTCTCCAAATGGCCACAATGGCCAGGGCTGGGCCAGGCTGAAGCCAGGGGTCAAAACTCCATCTGGGTCTCCCATGTGGGTGAAGGGCCCAAGCTCTTGGGCCATCTTCTGCTTTCTCAGGAACATTAACGGGGAGCTGGATGAGAAATGGAGCAGCCTTGACTCAAACTGCTGTACCTGTATGGATGCCTGGAATTGCTGGCAGCAGCTTAACCCATTGTGCTACACTGCCAGCCCTAACACCTCATCAGAATTTATTTATCTTATAACTGAACGTTTGTACCCTTTGATCAACATATCCTCATTTTCCTCAATCCTCAGTCTCTGGTAAGCATAATTTCAGTTTCCATGAGTGAGACTTTTTTATGTATTCACATAAATGATACCATATAGTATTTGTTTTTCAGTGTCTGGTTTGTTTCATTTAGTGTAATATCCTATAGGTTAATCCATATTTCCATATTGTTGTAGATGGCAGGATTTCTAGCAATTTTAAAACAGATTTATTTATTTATTTGAAAGTCAGAGTTATAGAGAGAGATGGAGAAAGAGGGAGGAAAAAAAGATCCTCCATCCACTGGTTCATGCTCCAGATGGCCACAACAGCCAGGAGCCAGGCTGCAGCCAGGAGCTCCATCTGGGTCTCCCACGAGGGTAGCAGTGGTCCAAGCACTTGAGCCATATTCTGCTGCTTTCTAGGCCATTAGCAGAAAGTTGTATCAGAAGTAGGAGCAAGTGGAACAGGAACCAGTGCCCATAAGGGATGCCAGGATCACTTGTGGTTTACCCACTATACCACAATGCCATCCTCACTATTTCAAACTTTTTAAAGGTTGAATAATAGCCCACTGTCTTATATAATCACAGTTTCTCTATTTATCTAATGATGGACACTCAGACTGATTCTGTATATTGATAATTTTAAGTAATGCTGCAATGAATAAAGGAGTATATTTCTTTTATATACTATTTTTATTTCCTGTATATGTTTACCATTAAAATGGTATTGATGAATCAGGATAATTCTATTTTTAATTTTGTAAGGAATCTATGGACAGCTTCCTTAATGGTTGTTTCAATTTATATTCCCACCAATAATGTGCAAGTGTGCACTGTCCTTTTTTTCCATGTGTTTGCCACCAGGTTTTTTTTTCAGCTTTTTACTTTTTATTTTCTTAAAAGATTTATTTATTTGAAAGTCAGAGTTACAGAGAGGCAGAGTCAGAGAGAGAGAGAGAGAGAGAGAAAGAGAGAGAGAGAGATGTTTCACTTGCTGGTTCACTCCCCAAAAGGCCACAATGGCTGGAATTGGTCCAAACCAAAGCCAAGAGCAGGAGCTTCTCCTGGGTCTCACACTGGGTGCAGGGGTCCAGCCACTAGGGCCATCTTCTACTGATTTCCCAGGCCATAGCAGAGAGCTGGCTTGGAAGTGGAGCAGCTGGGACTTGAACCAGCATCCATATGGGATGCGGGCAATTCAGGCAGCAACTTTACTCGCTATGCCGGTGTCAGACCCTTTTTTGCCTTTTTAATAACAGCCATACTAACAGGTATGAAGTGATAACTCATTGTGGTTTTGATATGTATTTCCCTTATGACTGATGATGCTGAACATTTTTTTTCATATACCTGTTGGCCATTTATCTATCTTCTCTTGAGAAATGTCTTTTCAGGTCCATTACCCATTTTTAAATTGGGTTATTTGTTTACTTGCTACTGAGTTGCTTGAGTTTGAAATATGTTTTGGATATTAACTTCTTATAGATTGCAAGTATTTTATCCCAGTCCTGAGGTTGCCTTTTCATTTTGTTGACTACTTCCTTTGCTGTGCAGAAACTTTTAGTTTGATGCAGTCTCTCACTTGTTTATTTCTGCTTTTATTGCCTATACTTTTGGTGTCATATCCCAAAAGTCATTGTCAAGACCAATGTCATGGAGCTTTTATCCCATGTTTTTACATGGGCATTTTATGGTTTCAAGTTCTCCTTTTACATCTTTATTTTGGATTGATTTTTGTTTGTCAGACAAGGGTCCAATTCTGTTTTCTGTATGTGATTAGCCAATTTTCCCGGAACCATTTATTGAAGAGATTATCCTTTCCCCATTGTATATTCTTGATGGTTTGGTTTAAGATTCATTGATGGAAATATTCCAGGATGGCTGAATAGGGAAAAGACATGCTGATTTTAACCAGGGAAAGATAGCAGAGGAAAAATAGAGGAAGTGTATTCCTGGTGGAGAATTGGAGAGATGTTTACAACTGAAATTCTTCAGAAAGAAAAAGAGCCCCATGGAGCAGCATGAAAACTGCAGACATGCAGCAGTGAGAGGGGACTCCATACATGAAACCCACACCTGGGGATTGGAGGAGACACCAGGTTCTGAGAGTCAGGTGAGGGCAGATTGCAGTAGCCTCTGCCACTGTGGATACTACAATGCCTAAGTGTGAAACAAGACCCCTACCTTACACCTTATACAAAAATCAACTCAAAATGGATCAAGGATCCAAATCTACAACCTGATTACCATCACATTACTAGAGGAGAACACTGGGGAAATTCTGCAAGACATTGGCATAGGTGAAATCCTCTTGGAAAAGACCCCAGAAGCACAGGTAATCAAAGCAAAACCTGACAGATGGAATTACATCAAGCTAAGGAGCTTCTGCACTGCAAAAGAAACACTTAAAGTGAAGAGGCAACTGACAGAATGTTAGAAAATATTTGCGAACTATGCAACAGATAACAGATTAATATCTAGAACCTATAGAGAACTCATGAAACTCAGCAACAACAAAGCAAACAATCCAGTTAATAAATGGGCAAATGGGTCCAGTTCTGTGATGTAGAAGGCTAAGCTTCCCTCTGCAGTGTGAGCATCCCATTTGGGCAGCAGTTGGCGTTTTGGCTGTTTCACTTCTGTTCCAGATCCCTGCTAATGTGCCTAGGAGCGCAGCAGAAGATGCCTCAAGCCCCTGGGCCCCTGCACTCACATAGGAGACCAGGAAGAAGCTCCTCGCTATGGCCTAGCCTAGCCCTGGCCATTGTGGCCATCTGGGGAATGAACCAACAGATGGAAGATCTTTCTCTCTCTCTCTCTCTCCTCTCTCTGTATCTCTCTTCTTTTCAAATATAAATAAATAAATCTTAAAAAAATAAATTAGCAAAAGATTTGAATAGACACTTTATTTTATTTTTATTATAAACACTTTTATTTAGTAAATATAATTTTCCAAAGTACAGTTTATGGATTACAATGGCTTTTCCCCCCATAACTTCCCTCCCACTCACACCCCTCCCATCTCCCGCTCCCTCTCCCATTCCATTCACATCAAGATTCATTTTCAATTATCTTTATATACAGAAGATTGATTTCGTATATAATAAGTAAAGATTTCATCAGTTTGCACCCACACAGAAACACAAAGTGAAAAATACTGTTTGAGTACTAGTTATAGCATTACTTCACATTGGACAACACATTAAGGACAGATCCCACATGAGGAGTAAGTACACAGAGACTCCTGTTGTTGACTTAACAATTTGACACTCTTGTTTATGGCATCAGTAATCTCCTTAGAGATTAAAATATTAAAATATTAAAATAACTAGTACTCAAACAGTATTTTTCACTTT